TTAATTAATTTAATTAAATTAATTAATTAATTAAGAATTTAATATCATTTTAAATTTTTATATCCATTTTATTTTTAATTATTAAATTATTAATATAATTTTAAATAATTAAAATTTAATAAATAAAAATTTTAAATAAAAATTTTGTGTACAAGAAATATTATTGTTGAATTGTATAAAAATTAATATTATTGTTGAATTATTTAATTAATTTGATTGTTGAATTAAAATTAATATTGAAATTTGAAAATAATAATTGTAATTAAATTTGAATGTAAGTTAGGAAGGAAAGTATGTATTTTTATTATATTTATTTTTTTTTTACATTATTTTCTTTCCCTTTCACTCTTTATTTTTTTGTTGTTGTTGGTGTTGTATAAAACATACACACTTGAATTAAAAAAATATCCTCAAAAACAAGAAAACTTCCTTTTTTTTTCTTGCTTTTATTACAAAAAAAAATATTTTTTTTGGTTGATTGTTGATTACACAAAATTCTTATAATATTTTTTTCTGTTTTGATTTTTGTTTTCTCTTTCTTTCTATTTTTTTTTGTTTATTTTATTTTATACCACCATTTCAGGAGTAGTTTTTATTTATTTATTTACGTTTTTTGGTTAACTACAACTACAATATTTCCGGCTGCTGCTGCTGCTGCTTATATTTCTTTCTTTCTTTTTCTAATTTATTTATTTATTTATTTTTAACATTACTTATATATTAAATTATATTTTTTCTTGAATTATACAAAATTTTTCAATCACATTTACTTTCAATTGAATTACATGATTTTATTTATTACCTTGTAAATTTAGTTGATGAATTTTACCTTTATAACAATACACAACTTGTATTTTTTTAATAATTCACTTTTATTTTCAATTTGTAATTATTATTATTGTTATTATTACCGATTTTGTTTCTATTTCTTTTGTTCCTTATTTTTAACGGGATTATTATAATCTAAAATATAGATTATGTATTTTTATATATGTATATTTAAATTGAATTTAAATTAAATATTAAGATTAAATTTTAGAAATAAATTTTATAACTATTATACACAATATTTTTTAAATCCTCCTCTCTTACTTATTTAATTTCTTTTGTATTTGATATTTTTTAATTTGTACACCAAAATTTAAATTATGTATATGTATGTATGTATAATTTTTTTTATTTATTTTTATCGTTTGTATACATAATATCTCTAAAGTAATTATTATATAGAATATTTTAATTATTTATTTATTTATTTAATTAAATAATTTTATACAATTTATAATATTATGAATATTTATATAAAATTCTAATATTCTTATTAAATTTTTTTTCCTTTTTCTATATTCTTTTGTTGTTTTGTTGTGTTTATTATTATTATTTTTTTCTTTTAATTCAACCGAAACACCAACTATCTGAAATGACTGAATGAATAAGACTAATAAAAACTGAACGCTGCTAAAGGGTGAATGAACGCGATCAAAACAAAAATACACATTTACGAAATGAAAAAAAAAAAAAACAGAAAAATAATAATAATAATGAAAAAAAAACAGAAGAAGAAGAAAAAACAAAATAGTAAAAAAATGAAACAAAAACAACAACAAAATAATTCAATAATATTAAGAAGAAAAAATTTTATTAAAAAATTTAAGAGAAAAATTATTTGATATTGAATTGAATAATATTAAAAGAAAAATATCGTAACGAAAAAAAGAGAATTGAAATAATTTTGAAGGTATATACAAACAAACATTATGATTTTGTAAAATTATAATAGAGAAAATTTTTTATAATACGTAATTTAGTTGTAATATAAATAATAAAGAGATGTTGAAAGAGAACGAAAATAAGAGAAAAGAAAATTTACGCACTATTGTACTGTGTACATGACTGTCGTAATAGCATTGAATTACATTTATAATAATTTATTACTTGTGTTGTGTTTAAAGAGTTTTATGTAAATGTAAATTGTATTTTTTTTTTATTGTTTAGATTATTATAATTTTTACTTCCTATTTATAATTTTTTTTTTGTTTTAAATTATATAATAATAAATATTTTTATTTTGAAAATTTTAATTTATGTATTGAAATTATTTATTCAATTTTTTAAAGTAAATAGTTGAAATTTCGGCTAGTTGAGTGTAGTAAAATATAATTATACATACAATAATTTCATTTTATAATTTTATATAGATATACATATATGTATTTATTCTTATACACTAAGCTCTTATACCCTTATATTGTATTTTTGGTAATATTATTGTTAATTAGATTTATTGAATGAATTTATGCGATAATATTTAAAGAAATATTATTTTCAATTTCAAAATAACAATCATTTTTAATATTAAACTATTATAATTGTTATAAACAACTAAATATAGTTATATGTATGTAAATATTATGAAAGTTTTTTTTATTCTTTTAAAATAAATAATTATCTATCAATCTATTGAATTTCAAATCAATCTTCAATTATAATAAATTTTTGTATAAGGAAATTATACTATTATATTTTATTCAATATAATAATTCTCTTAAACTAGAATTTTAAATTCAACGTAATCATTATAATGGAGACATTATTTAAGAGAAACAATAAAATCCATTCTTAATACGCAAAAATAAATAAATAAAAAAAAAAGATCTAAATATAGAATAAAATTTATTTTAAAAATTTCAGATATTATTATTGTTGTAAAAGGAAATAAAAATATTATAATAACAGAAAATCATTTTCTCTTTAAGGCCATTCAGAGGACATTGACCTTTTGTTTTTTTTTTAAATGCTCTTGAAAAATTGTTTTTCATATTTTGTTCTTGTAAAATACATAGTACAATTGTACTCAAAAATTTCTGATATTCTCTTATAAAAATTGATAAAATATGAAAATATTTAATAAATAAGAGAAAAATTTAATAAATGAAAATATAAAATAAATAAGAGAATAAAAATAAAAATATTAAAATATAAAATTCAATTTTATTAAAGAGATTATAAATGAAATTTATTTTTGAACTCATCTTTTGCAATTTTCATACATAATTTTAATTTTTCTCTTCTAAAAATAACATACTCTATAAAGTGATTTTGCTTTCCATTTTCATATTTTATTTACAAAAAAAAACAAATTACCAATATTTAACTTGAAAATTCTTATTTTTTTTTTCTCTTCCTAAATATTCTCTTAAATTACAACTGAAAACAATTTTTCAATTTGATTAGTTATTACAAAATTTAATAACAGTACTCGCACGTAATATATAATAAGAGAATATTTAAGAGTATTTAACTTACTCTTTTTTCAACCTTAGTGAAATTTTGTTTATAAAAAGAATTTATGGAATACATTTTTGGGGAAATTTTTTATGCTTTACAATTATTTGAAGTAAAAATTATTTATTGCAATTTCATTTAAATTTTGTAATTTTCAATTTAAAATGAGAATTTTTTTAAATTATTAATAATTAATAGAGAATTAGATTATTTCTCATTCAAGAATTTCAGTTTAATTTCAGTAACGGAAATTAAATGTTTCAAATTTTTGAAAATTTTATAACAAATGGGAAATTTTGAAGGGAAAAAATATAAGCATTGTTTGAATTCACAATGGGCATATATATATAATCCCAGTTTTTTTTTTATTGGTAATATAATTCATATTCACAATAGTTGATTTATTAATGGAATTGTTTGAATCAATTTCGAAGGCGGCATTCATAACAACAATAACAATATTTTACACAAACAATCAAACTTTTTTTATTTTTTGTAGAATCGGTAAATAAAATCAGGAAATAATTATTAATATAATAAAAAAAGTTTTTATTTATTTAGAATTGAAAAATATCTCAATCCGTTTAATAAAATCAAAGATCATATAAAATAAATACATTAAGGTCTATGAAAAAGACAAACGTCAAAATAAAAAGTACGGTACTACATCATAATAAAGAATTAAAATTATTATATTATTTAGAATATAAAAATTTAGTTTCAAAAAATTACCACTTAATTTTTGGTTCTATCTAACAGAGACATCTGTCTTCTAAAATCTTAATGAAAACTAAACTATCATTGTGAATGTCAAAAATTTATATCAATTAATGAAATTTTTTTTGCATATATTTAGGAGAACTTGATATGATTATATCAAGTATATTGGAGTCTTGATATGAATTATGGCATGAATTTTTAATATGAATCTTAATATGAATTTTTATATAGAAGAAAATTCGTTGTTATCATTCATGAGAAATAAATCATACAGCTTTGCATCATTCACTAATTATTTCTTTGTTGAAACATAATTTTTGTCCTTCGTTTCTTCTCTTCTCCATTAATTAACTTTTTATTCATTACCTCTTTTTTCACTTTCTTTCCTTCACTTGTGACAATGATGACAGGGGTCGAAGATTATAGAGTTTCTTATCGAGGAGTAAATTTTATATGAAAGATTTGTTTGATTATGATTAAGTTTTGACTATGATTAAGTATGATTGTCAATCATAATAATTGTCATTGGTAGTGGTGTCTTCCTCAATTAGCTCTATTTTATAGATACAATCATTCTTAATTTAAATTCTGGCCATGTACATTTTTGCAGATCTTACGAAGATCTACAAAAGTTTGAATGTTTTTGTATTCAAATAAAAATACAATTTTTTTTTTAAATATTTTTTTTTTTTAATATTTTTTATAATTTGAAATTTTCCATCATGATTTCTTTCAATAAATACAATATTTATTTATTTTTTGTTTTTCTTTATCTTTATCTTTTTTATATGTACTTAAAAATTTTTCCATTTTTTCTTGATTTATGAATTTTCTATTTATAGAACATAATATTTTTTTGTATAATGATCTTTCTTATACATTTTTAATATAATTATTTTGTAATTGTATATTTTTATTTTTAAATTAAATTAACATCGAACATATTTTACATCTCAATAATTATTATAATTATAATAGAAAAAAAAAATATATATATATGTATATAAAAATTAAAAATTAATTAAATAAACACATTTTATTTTTTGAATTTGTTACAAAACTAGATCTACAGAACTCATTTTCAAATGATTTTTTAAATTTTCAATATCTTGTTGTTTTTTTTATAAATTAACAAAAAAAAATCTTTTTTATGCTTAAAATACATACACTCATACATACAGAATTAGTTTTTTTTTTACTAAAATTAAGAATTAAAATGAAAAAAAAAAATTCATGTTACATAAATTACAATAATAGAAAATTTTATTTTTTGCATTTAAATTTTTTTAAAATAATAAAAAATTAATATTGATAAAGAGAAAAAAAACGATCATTTTTTGTAATTTAATTTTTATTTTGCTTTGCTTTTTATATATTAAGATTGTTTTCTTTTTTATTATTCTAGAATTTAATTGATAAATTGTTTTTATTTTTTAATTTTAGAAAATACGCCACTAAATTAATAACAAATGCACGAAATCCGGAGTTTTCTTGTAAGTAAATTATTTTTATGTTTATTATTTCATATTTAATTCATTGGCGACAAATATTTTTCTCTTTCTTTTTGTTTTAAATAAATTCAATTCTCATTTTATTTTTCGTAATTTTTTTTTTACACAATATTTATAATAATTTTCATGGATTTTCTTTAAAACTTAAAAATCTTTTTCATTTTCAATTTTAAATTTTTCAATTATTTTGCGGTTGTTGTTGCTGTTGCTGCTGCTGTTGTTGTTGCTGTTCTTCTTGTTGCTGTTCATATCGTTGGCGTAATGTAGCTAATGCTGATAACAAACGATTATTTGCAGCATCTAAGGCAGCTATCTGTTGTCCCTGAGCTTCAATTACTCTCTGTTTATGGGATAAAGCTAATGACATTTTATATTGTTCACGTCTTAATTCTTCTTCCATTGAAATCAATCTAAAAAAAAAAAGTGGAAAAAAATCAATTATGTAACATGAACAACTTTTAAAGAAAAAAAAAAGTTATTTTTTTCTTGTTCTCTTTTATTTTACCTATCAATTATACTACGCATATTACAATCAGATCCACCGCTTCCAACTCGTTGAAATCTGAATATATCATCATTTGAATCACGTAATTCAGCTGCATCTTGATCTAATTTATGACGTAATGTATCTAAGGATGCTTGTAATCTTTGGATTTCAGCTTGTTCTGAATTTTGTATATTTTGTGTATTTGAACGTTGAGGACGTCGTCGTTTACCTTCAGCTGGTGTACGGTTCGCATCTAAAATAAAATTAATTTTCAGTTCATAAAATTTTTATTTATAAATTTATTTTACCTTCCGTATCTGTAGAGCTATCAGAATGTGTTCTAGCTGATTCTAAACTTAATCTTCTTTGGTATCTTGAACCTGGTACTATTGAACTACCTCCATTTGTTACACCATTACTTCCACCATTACTACCATTATTATATTCCATAATTGGTAAACCGATATTACGGGAATTTTCTCTACTATTACTGCCATTTAATAATTGATGACCACTTCCATTTAACCAATCACCATTATCACTTTTCAGAGATCTTTCACCACTGCTACTTCCGCCACTTAATCCATTACCAACACCAGCAACAGTAGATGAAAATATATTAATTGGAATATAGTTGTCATTGTGCACTACACTATTATTTATGTAGTCATCTCTTTTATATTGCGCTAATGGATTTGTTCGTGGCATCCGACCTGTACTTAATCCAATACTACCACTTCCACCACTACCAGCGCTACTGCTACTGCCGCTTAATGTTCTATGAGTTTCCAAATGGCCATTTTCATTTGATATAATACCACCGCCTCCTACTATTGAGTTAGTCATTAGATGAACCCCACTACTTGGTGAATTGACATGATGATTTGAACAGTATCCACCAAGGCTACCAAAATTATCATTACTTAAGCGTTCTTCACTGCTCGATGGAGTCAATGAAGATGAATTAACTCTTAATGGTAAACCGTTATGATTTTGTCTAGAATTGTTATACGATTTGCCATTAAAACGAGTATGATGATTATTTGTTGGATGATTATGGGCCGTTGAGCCAGATGAAGAAGTTGATGATGATTGTTGTAATTGATAAACTGGATTCTTAAATGCTAATGCTGAAACTGATGATTTATTATTGCTATTTTGGTGTCTATTATTACGACCATTTAATGAGCCGAAATTTTGTGCTTTGGTATAATCTTGGGATTGAGATTTTGATTGTAGTTGTTGATCTTTCTGTTGATTTTGTTGCTGTTGTTGCTGTTCAGTTGGACTTGAAGATTGCGAGGGTGTGTTAATACTTTGGTAACCAGAACTACAATGTCCAATTGAAACATTCGAGCCTTTCGACGTTAATTGATCCTTTGGTTTCTGATTTGGATGGTTGTTTGAATTTTCGTTGCCATGCTCTTCAGCATATTTCAATAAATCATCAAGATCTTCTAAATTCATTGGCATATTACTATTTGGATTAGTTTCACGCGTTGGATTCACTGCATGGTTTAATATTAAAGGCGAGCTAGGCGCAGGGTGATGATACTGTTGTTGATAGCCTACGTCTGGTATACCTAAATAAATTTGAAAAATGAATTGGGTATTTGTTATAGTCATAGTTTTCGAAACTTACCTAAATTTAATTTACTTGGTGTTCGATCACTTAAACTTAATTGTGAATTGCTTAGATAATTTTTTCCCGAAATAAGTCTATTTGCACTTGATTTTAATAATGGTGTTGGACTTTTGCGAACAAACGCTGCAGGTTCCAATCCAATTGTTATCATATTACCCCCAATTTCGTCATAGTTTCCAATATCATCATCATTATTATTATTATTAATATTATTGTTATGATTATTATTATTATTGTTATTAATATTATTCACTCCGGGAGCGTTGTTTATTGGATGGACATTTCTCGGTAAGGTATTTGCTCTCATTGAATTGGGACTCAACTTTTCAATACCATTACTAGAAGTGTTTATATTTCCGTTGCTTGGAAAATAGTGACTACCATATTGGGATCCATTCTGATTATATCTCTCATTTGTTCCCGCTAAAGATGATGGTGGGCAATGTTGCTGAATTGTTGTTGGAATCAAAACTCCATTTTGAGATGAAGCTATGGATGATTGTGATAATGAATGTTGCAAATTACTGTTTATATTTCCATTTCCAAGATTTGAGTATTGTGAGCCATTAACACTTGTCTGACTATTTGAGTTCCCACGGTTTTGTTGTAGAAGAGGAGAAACTGTAGGATCATTATAACGAAATATATTTTTCTCAAGAGAGCTTGGTGTTAAAACTCCACGAATTATACCGCGTTCATTTGGTAAACGAATTGGAGCATTTGTATTATTTGTTGCTTGTTGTGGATGGTGCACTGGTGCTTGATGCAATGTTGTTGGAGATGATTGGTTTATTTGATTATAGCTTTGGTTTTGTATGGGATTTTGGTTTTCTTGATTGTAAAGCATATAATTATTTGTTTCTTTAGCTTTGGTTATATCTTCAAGAATTGACTGTAGAGGTTCCAATTCTCTAAGGCGATTTTCCGCTACTTTTTGTAAGCTTTCGACCAACAGTTGGTGTAGTATTGAAAGTTGCTTGCCTTGGTCAATATATCCAGCCCAATCTAAGATTGTTTCCTGAACGGGTTGCTCTGGTCTTTGGGATATTTCGTGCAAAAATTCTTTCATTTTTGGAGCCTCTTGTTCTAGAAAATCATTTAGGAATTCCATGAAATTTTCTTTACCTTGAAATCTTGTAAAATTTGCCAAAGTTTGTAATGTTTTTGCTACCAAAGTAAGATTGCGAGTAGCTCGTGTTGAAGGTAGTTCTAAAATAAAAATTGATTAGTTTTTAAGAAATATAAAGAAAGGTGTTTTATCTTTACCATTTGTTATATTAAATAGACTTGGAGACAATATCGCGGGACACAAAAATCTTAAAAATATAGATGCAGATATTAAATTATCAGCCATATCTTCTCTGTCTAATGTTTGTAGCCGTTCTCTGAATGTCGCAAAACATTCTCGCAACTGTGGCGGAAAATGTTTGTGAGATTCCGATATACTTGTCCATGCCGCTTTTACAGCTGCTCTCAATGCTTGTTGTTGTCTTGTTAAAGAACCGGATGCCTTTAATGGATCAACTTCACAATCACGATCTGATTGAATGATTTCATTTATTGGAGCTGAAAGTGTATCTTGCAAATATTGTTCTCCAGTTAATTTTAAAAAGGCCTCCATGCTTTTGGTTGCTAAAGAATTTCCTCTAAATGTTAAACGTTGGTCACCAACTCGTAGAAGATCTAATGCAACAACATCCGTAAGAAAAGATCCAGCCATACCTTGAGCATGCATTAATAGCACCAATGCTTGCCCAATATCTTCTTTTGCTTTAACACCAATAACTGGTTCTAATATTTCGCATACTTTTTTATAATTATCTTTTAAATATTTTGCGAATTCTGTATATACAGTGACTGGTAATATATCAATACTTTGAAATCGACATTTTATTCTTAAAGTTGGTATTACTTCTTTGGATGAATTACGGCTAATACTATCATGTTTTTCACTTAATATTGGATACCAATCCTCTGAAAATAATCTAGATGTTACTTCATGAATTGGAATTTTAACTGAACCAACAAAAACATGTTTATCTCTTTTCTTTTTCTTTTCAATTTCCCGAAATACATTTACTGTAATCACATTAATATCAGGAATATCTGGAAAATCAAAATATTCACCCCAAAATAATAATTCTGTTTGGAGTTTTACACTTGTCCTTCCATATAATGTTTTATCTAAATTGATTTCACAAAAATATTTCTTTTTCGCTGGCAAATTTTTCCCTTCATATATCCACATTTTTAATGAATTATCTGTACGTCTAGTGTGCTCCGCATTTGGTGCTATTGATTTACGTAAACTATATATCCAAAGATCACGTTCTTGACGTGAACCACAGCTATAATAGCGTTCTCCACGTGGACCACCACGAACTTGAAAACAATGACGTCTTCCTAAAACTGATTGATGAACTGGAGCAACTCCAACCGCTCCTGTACATGATAAATCTGAAATAATATATTAGGTTTAGTAACTTATAATGTTCATTAGACAGATTAGTATGTGTATAATTCATGCTTCGTTATTTTCATGTGTAGGTGCATACACAATATGTAAATAAAGGAATGCCAATGAAAAATATAATTGTAACTTACCTATAGTTGACATAACGGCATGACTGGACAATAAACTTTCATGTGATCTCGAACCTCTGAGACCACCAGGACCTCTTTTGGCACGTTCTAGTTTTGTAACAGATTTTGTGCGTTTCAATGGATTCGATCTAAAAATTTTAAAAAAAAGAAACGTTTGTGAATGTTTTAAATACAAACAATATGCAGATATTTCATTAGACAATAATAATGAGATTTGTTATGAATATTTGTTTACCTTTTCGAAAAGAAATTTGTGAAACGAGATGTTGTGTTTTGGTTTTCTTGCTGTTGCTGTTTTTGTCCCAAAATTGGCGTAGCAGGTGCTGAACCTCGTCGGCATGCCTTTTCATATGATGTATCTGAAAAAAATTAACATATTTGTTAATAAAACACGATTTCAATTCAATTGAAAATTTTCTAATGGCAACTAATAAAAAAGCATTTGGGCACGAACTTTCATTTTCTGAGCTATTCAATAACCCTTTACAAAAATTTTTAAAAAATTTTTTTAATTTATTAAACTTCATATTTCTATTAGAATTTTAAATATTTAAAACATATTGTTTATGGAATTTTTCAACTTAATTTTTAATTTGGTTTTGATCAAAAAACCTGTTGTTACTCATGTTAAAACTTTTTAAAAAATAAATTTCATTTCAGATAAAAATAGATTAGAATTTCGTTCCGTTCATCTCGATAACAAAAACAAAAAAAACTTGGAAAGCGGTAAAAGTGAAGTATAAGTCGACTTGAACACTCAAAATATCATTAAAGTATTTATAATACAAATTTAATGCAAGCTCGCCAGAACATAATCAGTCGGCTTAAGTTGACGCAACTAATTTTTATAATAAACATTAAATTGTTTATCAACATAATCCAAAAATTAATCAGGAACATAATAAAAGTCTTATGTCATAATTTTTAAAACTAAGCTGTAAACTGATTGAAATTTTAAGAAATTTCCGTAATTTTTTATAATTTCATCGAACATCGTCATTATTTGATAAATAAAAATGTTAAAATTTTTAATTTATTTAAGTAGTCGTTTTAAACACTGCAGCAAAGTTAATTATTAGAAATTTTTTTAATTTCCTTGTTCAAGTTTAATATAGAGGTCACAGTAACAACTAAGTATTATACAATAAAATAGAAGGCAATGCAAATTCTCTTTATTAAATTGTCAAATTTCTATCTTCTTTTAAACTGCCTTCTACCCACTATTGTTGTGTACCAAGAAGTTCCGAGTAAGCTTACAAGTGGAGAAGATTTAAAAAAAAAATGTACTTGTATTTTAAAAAATGACAGGGTATGAGTAAAATTACACGCCAATATTTCCACATGCCACTCCCCAAATATTTCAATTCGCACTAAAATATTTCAGTTTAAAAACTGTTTTCTTAGTTTTTCTTGGAAATAATGTACCTACAATGTTGATTCTAAATTTGCTTATCATAGTTTAAATTAAAATAACACCTTTCCCCAAATCATAGATTAGGTTATAAGTGCAAAAAAATAAAATCGCAAATTTTATTTAAAAAATACACACGCATATTTTTCTTACTACGTTTTCATTTAATTTTAATTCTATAAAATTCTATTTTGTATAAATGTGTGTGTGCATGCAAATATCCGAAATTCGTAAGTTATTTTTTATTTTACAAAATATTAAATTTAAAAATATTAAATTACCACTATGATAACCACTAAATATCTCCATTTTTCATTATTATTTTAAATATTTTTTAAAAAAAATTTTTTTTTAAATTTCAAAAAAAAATTATAAAATATTTTTTCGTTTAAATTTAAATTCGACAGGAATAAACCACAAGTAAGTAAGTATTGTACTAAATATTAAAAAATTTATTTTCTATAATTTTGTGATATTTTTTTTATTTTTATCAAAAGTAAATTCAATCAATTTTAGCGATATGAATAACATGATTCATTTTATGAGAGTAGTCTTGGAGGTTGTGTTGATATTTTCTTTTTAAATTGTGTGAACAAAATTTGGACTAGTTCTAAAAATCAAATTTGTAAAATTGATTTGACATGTGTATGCATGTATTTATTGATTTGGAATTGGAAGCGTTCAAAATTTTAACAAATTAGTTGTTTTTCATTGATGTCAACGAATTTCAGCAATACGATATTAATACACAATTTAGCAATAATAAAAATCCTAAGCTAAAATGTGCTTCAATAGAATATTCCGGAATTTTTAAAGTAAGCCCCTTACTATGAATTTTGTAACAAAATGTCAGTCAATTAATTAAAGTATTTAACCCCCTTTACTACAAATAAAATATTTTTATTTTTTTCACATATTTTTCATAAAAAATATTATTTTTTTTCATACATGCATATTTATAATTTTTTATAGATAAGATATTGAAAACCGCGATTACCTGTGTATTATTAATGATTGAAATAAAAAAAAAAAAACAATCGTTTTCTTACACCGTTAAATCTACACATTTTGGTTGTGTGTGTGTGAAAAAGTTCAAAACAATTATTTGTGCGGAGGTGAATAACTTGAATTTATTCAAATTGTGAAATGTAATTGAAATTACAAAAAAAAAACCCTTTATATTTTATTCTGAAAGGTGATCTACTTTAATATATGCATATAAGATGGTTATGTTCTATAAAATTACAAAATAAGAAGAAGAAGAAAACAACATAATGATAAACGGAAATCATTGTCTGATTTGTTTTATTTTTATCAAAGGTGTAGATTTTGTTAAATGAACGCAATTATTATTTTCATAACAAAAAAAAAAAAATAGGTACCTATTGTTAAATTATTAAATTAATCTTATATGAAATTCTTAGGGGCGGACGAATTATTTGAAATATATTGCTTATTTTGTATATGTCCCGGTACTTGTAGTAATTTTGTATTTTGAATAAATATGAGTTATTTGTGTCCTACGTAGGTAATTTATGTTCTACGGTTCTACATAATATATGATGCATTATGTGATTACAAAGGCTTAATGTAAAGAAAAAATAATAAAAAATAAGGAATTTCGAAAAATATTTTAATTCATTTTGACGATCCGTAGGTTGCATGAAATTTTATTCCTATTGTTTTTTTATCAATTTATCATAGTTCCGATTATAATAATATATTCTAAATCAAAAACTAATTTATTACACTACTCATAAATATACCCATGTCTATATATTCACACGTGCTTTGAAAAAAAAAAAAAATATTTTATGATGAAAAATATTAAGAATAATTTTTTATATAAAAGGTATACAAAATGCAATTTGAAATTGCAGTTTCAATATAGATAAAAATGTAAATTAAATCTAAATGAAGTATGCAAAATTTTGTTAAAATATTCAATTATAATTATGTTGAATGGAGCAGGAAGAGGTATTAAATAAATTTGTTATAACTCATAATAAAGAAATTGGAGACGTTTCTTGGAACATATTATTTTTGGAATACAATATGTTTGATTCTTAATTAGTTGCTTGAATTCTAAATAATATGAAGGGTTATAAAGGAGATCTCAAACATAATATGTAAATATCTGAAGTAGAACAGGATGGGAAAAGTTTTCATGTTTTAACAAAACACGTCACACAGACTTGTAAGTTTGGTTCAAGAAACGCCATAAATTACATTGTATAACAGTTTCAGGTACTCATTACATATTTTCGGAATTCTATGTATTTTTTTATAATTTTTCATATTAAATTCTATAAATCACTAATGAGCTCACCAGAGAGGAAACAATTGCTCACAAACAGAAAGAGAAGAAACATTTATTGCATTATATAATATAGCCAGATATAGCGTTCACAAAATTTAATTTTAATTCAGTTAAGTACAAACGCAAATTCTAATAAATTCCATTGCAAATTTTTAAATTGAAGAATATACGATTATATATTTCTTTTCTTATTATATCTTCTATCTATAGGTATGCATGGCAATTGAAAAAATGTAGACTTTACTTAAAATTCATAAGATTAATTTAATTGCAGAATTCCTACGTAATAACTTTTACATAACTGAACAAATAATTGCAGAAATTACGGCATAAATATTTTTATATGTATGATAAGTGCTTACATTAAGTGCAAATTAAAATATTATTTATGTAAATTTCTATACATAAATGAATATTTAAGTTTTAACGTTTCTCGAAATATTCGAGAAAAAAAAAACAAAATAGAACAAAAAAATTTTCAATATGCGTTCATATGTTTAGGAAGAAGAAAATTTATATAGGAAATAAGATTTTGTTAAATATACAGAGCATGTTAATTTATTGGAAGGCGGAAAAATTTACTACCATCACATATACCATATTATATAAATGCATATGTGTAAATGAGAAATAAATCCATTCTTCAATATTAAATTTACAGTTAAGTTTAAGGTTTAACAAAATTGTTATATAAATTCTCTAAACATATGTAAAATCAGTTTAAAATTTAGTCATATAACTTAGGGGAAATATACATAACTAAGGAAAGGAAAAATAAGGAAAACATTAAAATATTTTATTTTAAATTTATATGTCTAAAAGAAAAGTTATGTAAAATATTTAAATTTGTAGTAAAAATTTTAACATAAAAAAATTTTTAAGGAAAATAATTACGTCAATAATTATTGACAACTCTATTTTACAAAAGAAAACACATATAGAATAACAATTTGTAGACACAGCTTACAATTTATGGGAATGAGCATACCTCATTTTTGTAAATTCAAAATGAGCACAAAATTTGACAATGAGTTTCCAAAATATAAGCATTTACGGAAGCGCTGTAAACTTGAATTCACAAGTAGTACAAGTGGACGCTTCTATTTATAAATGTCAAATTTTGCCAGCAATTTTTTTTTTTTTGTATTTTCAAAATTCTTTGTATTTAAATTTGTTTTAAGTGAAAATACCGAATAAATAGGTAGTTAACTTCTTTAATCCCTACAAAATATTAACAGTCTAATCGTAAAATCTCGCTTTTTCATTTCGCTTATTTATCTCACTTTTTACTCACTTTCAAATCAGAACTCTCCGGATTTCTAATGGACATTTTATTTTTTCAATTAAATTTTTGCAGTTTTCCTTAAATTATTGATTGAACAACTCATACCTTCAAAAACAAAATGAATACATTTTAGAAAAAATGACATACGCAATACGGAATAATTCTTCTTACTTAAAAATTACTTTGTACAAATGTATGATAGTTACTCACTTTCTTTCCACATTGTACCCAAATTGTTCATTTAGTGTGAACAATTTTTACGAAACTTATGGGCCTTTTACATTTACTTAGTCTTATTTGACTCCAGGTTGGCACCCAGTCTACATTAAAGATGTATTTGTAA